TGTCGGAGCCACGGGAGCCACTGGCTGACGGACACTGGGATGAGACTTCTGAGTCCTCAGGAGCTAGGGTGAGAGGCTGGGTGAGCTCAAGGCCAAACCCAGACCCCAAGGCATGCCCTGCTGCCTCTGGGTAAGCCCAGACATACTCAAAGAGGGCTGGCTGCCCAGATCCACCTCGGCCTCCAGCGCCGCCTCCTCTGGGAAGTTGGGGGGATACACGGGCCAGCGGAGGCCCAGAAGAGCTGGGTTTCTGTACAGGTGCAGGTTGAGGGACCCCAGAACAGAGCGAGAGGCAGGGTCTCCAGGAAGGGAGCTTGAGGCCCCCAGGTAGGGGTTGTCATAGTCAAATGGGGCTGCAGCAATGGAGGCCCGGGAGCGAACGTCTGCAGGAGAGACGTGCCAGGTTGTGACAGACCAGAGCCCCGCTTGGGCTGAGGTCCCAAGGAGGGTACAGATTTGGGCTGGCAGAGGCCCACACTGCCTCCTGCATGGCCCTCTCCCACCCATGTAGCCTGCCTGCTACCTCTGTGCTTCAGGACGTAGTTGATGGTACGGTCGCTGATGGCTTCCTCACTGGGAGTGATGTCCTGGAAGGCCTTGTTCCCCACACCCATGGACACCATCTCAGCCATGCGCACCTCTGGGTGGAGAGTAGGTATAAGTGGGGCCCCTCTGGACATCAGCCTTGCCCTTGAGCCTCTCTGTACATCCCATAAATGATCTTTCCCACACACCGCCATATCCGGCAGATTAACCCTCCTGCACTCAGAGGCTTTCCTGACAATCCTGCAGAACAGTCACCATAGTTCCCCTTTCTTTTATTAACAGGCTTTTGCCTTTGCCTTAGGTCGCAGAAAGACAGAGACAGTGAGAGGAAACAGTGAGAGGAAAAGTGAGAAATCGCACCCTGGGTGGTGGTGGGGTAGCCATACTGCAATCCCTTCTCCACTCTCTTCCTGGGATCTTGGGCACACATGCACACACGCCTGGTATAATTTTCAAGCCAGTGGGTCCAGGACTCGAACCACAGTCAACCATGTGGGAATCCAGCAACATAACCGTACACCATCTGCTGGCCCCCCATCATAGTTCCCCTTTAAGAGATGAGGTTCCTGATACTGAGGTCAATATTGTGTCCAAAGTCAAAACAGTAACAACAGGGTACCTTACTGTGACACTCTTTTCCCTGCATTGAACTGCTGGGCCTCCTCCCGCTTCCCAGGTCCTGACTCAGGCCCTCCTGGAGCCTCCCTGTGGACAATGTCAGCTCTCCCGGGAAGGCAGTGTACGGTGAAGGAGGGGGCAGGGACCCACCCTTGCTGTGGATGGCCTGCCTCCAGAGCAGGCGGGAGATGTCACTTGTCCAGGCCTGCTTGGTGGCCAGGTTGGAGGCCTGCAGCATGAAGGTGTCCCTGGCCTTGCGACGACGGAACCAGATCTCAAAGCGCAGGTGGCTGTCCCCACAGCACTCGGTGAGACCAAGGTCTGCCATCTGTGTGGACAGGGAAGAGGAGACTTGGCAAGGCATGCAGTGTGGAGGCATGTGGGGAGCCGCCCACATCAAAATGGCTGCCATGACCTTCACTGCTTAAAAATGGCCGGTGCGACCTTGACACAGACACCAGGAATGCAGACCCCCTGGTTCACACAGAGCTGACAGGGCCTCAATAAGGTCCGCTGTAAACCCCGCCTACCTCTCTCTGCCTTGTGTATATAAGAAAGCGCTCTAGCCCTCAATAAATGAGCGAAACCTTTACATCAAGAGCTGTGACACTGTGAGCTATGATACTTCTTTCTCTCCCGTGCTGAGACGCCGGTTCCAGACCTCCGCCCCCTCGCTCGAGTTTCCCTGCCCGATTCGTCCCGCGGGTTCGGGATAGAGGCACAGGGCAAGAGCCAGGATCAGGGCCTACCTTGAAGGAGCGCTTGTAGACAAACATGTCGACGCCGCTGGGCCCACGCCGAGGCTTGCTAAAGAGCAGCAGCTCCTCAAAGAGGAAAACACGGCGCAGGGACTTGTGGCGGCCCGCACGCACCATAAGCTCATCTTGTCTCACCAGCTGCCCCTGTTCCTTGAGGTTAACCTACAAAGTGGGGGCCTGGTAGGTGCCCAGCCTCCTCCACCCTCTTCTTCCACACCCACGGCTCCTGCCCACCACAGTCTGGAATGACTCACGTCACAGCCCTGGATGGCATCCATGGCTAGCAGGTCATTGCCATGTCGCAGCTGAAAGTGCACGAGGCTCTGGGCTGCCTGCAGGGCACCGAGCTCCTGCACTGGCCCCTCGCAGGCCCGCGCCAGCTCCTGCAGCAGCAGCGCATACTTGCTCATGCGCTGGATGGGCTTCAGCAGGTAGGAGGCCAAGTCCAGGCGGTCCCCCAGTGCTTGCTGCTTGTCCTGCCAGGTGGGGGGGAAATCATGGAATGGTTTCAGGGTCCTCCCCCACACCCCTATTTTTCCTATAGCTGCAGCCTCGCCTACCTTGAAGAAGGCATGGCCATAGCTGGTCATCAGGGCGTCAGAACGAGGTTTGTTCTTGCTGTACAGCGCGTACATCCCAAACTGCACCCTCTGCAAGGACATGTGGCTCAGCCCGGTTGGAAAGAGGGCCAGCCCATTCTCGGTTTGAGAGAACGAAAATGCCAACACACGTCTCCCAGGGACGACTCCTGCCCCCCAGATCCAGTGGAAGAACAGGCACTGCGCAGAGGGGCCTTGCCCACAGACCTCCTGGGGAAGAAGTCCCCTCTTTCTCAGACTGTGCCTCTGCACTCAGCTCTGAGAACACTCTGGTCTCACCTCACCTCGGACTGTTCTTTTGCTCACGACACTCGGCCTCGCTGCCTGTCCTTTGCTTGACCGCTGGGCCTCTTATGGGCCACACAACCTGGCCCCTGTTCCTCCCTCATGGCAGAACTCTTCCTCCGGCTTTCCCCAGCCTCGCCTGAACAGCAGTCCTCAAAAATTGCATGTAACTGCTCTCTCTAAGGTGGGAACCCCTGCCCACCAGTGACACCCAACCACCTGTCCTGTGTATTCTCCTCCTGGCCCCAACTATGATCTGGAATTCTCTTTTTCACTTTTATGTCTTCTTTATTAAACCACAAGCCTGTGAGCACCTTGTCGGTCTTGCTCACGGCTGTACACAGCACAGGGCCTGGCATCACACTTGTGCCCCACAGGTCTCGGGGGTGTGTGGCAGAATCAGCTGTGAGCCGGGCAGCCTACGGGGCTTACATGGCGCAGGAAGGCGTAGGCCACTCGGGGCGGGTGCCGGGTGCATGCCTCCAGCTCCCGCAGGAAGAAATGGCAGTGGAAGTCCCGCAGCTTCTCCAGGTTGCCAAAGAGATGGGCACGCTGGCCACGGAGGCCCTGGGGCACATCAGGGCGATCCAGCTCAGGAAAGTAGTTCTCCATGGTGTAGTCAAGGGCCCGAACGTACTCCCGCTCCGTGGCCACCATCTCCGCCAGCACCAGCTGTAGCCTAGTAGGCAGGTGGGGTCAGGACCAAAGACACCTACCCTCTACTTCCGCCCACTGCCCTGCCCACTGCTGGTACCTGTTGGGGCTACTGGGGTCAGAGCTGCCTGGTGGAGGCACAGGAGTGGATGGGCCAGGCTGGGTACCTCCTCCAGCCTCTGGTCCATGGCAGGCAGTGACAATGGCTGCATGGTGGCAGTGGTGGGCAGGCTCTCTGAGACTCTGCCCCAGACTCCGATCAAAGCTGTAGGCCTTCCTCAGGGGAAGGGTGGCAGGTGCAGGGGGAATCCTCCTGGCACACAGACTAGCTGTGCTGCCTGTTGGTGGTGGCTTCAGTGCAGCCTCCAGCTTCTGATCCAGAGCCAGCCAGGTGTCCTGATACCGCGTCCAGGCCCAGCGGCACTCCTGGCGGATGCTCTCTGAGCCCAGCCCCGTGGCCAGAGCCCACATCTTTCGGAAGTGGGCAGGAGGCAAGTCAGGGTGCCTGGCCCAGTGCAGCTGCAGCCGCTGCAGCACAACTCCCGGGCTCTCCTGCTCCAGCGCTGCCAACATCCGCCGGCCC